AATTGTGGTGAAAACCACAAAACCAATTTTTGGGAATGTAAGACTCGCAAAGCGATCCTACAATCTCGTTCTAAGCGCCGGTAGGAAACGCTCCACGTTTCCGACCAGGTACAAATTACTCTGCTGTTAACAACGGTCAGCGAGGAACAAATTCTACATTGGTACCCGTATGTACAAATATCACCCCTGCTTAAAATTTTTCATCTACACCTACTTCCCTCGCTGCTAACAATGTTCAGCGAGTTAATGGAGCTACCTATATATGCTGCTATTGCAACGGGTAGAAATCAAAATACTAACCAACGTTCTAACGAAAATTTTGACAATTTTGACTTAGGAAGCATTACTGCCCCTAAAATGGATTTTTTACAGAAATCATTAATTGGTATAATTTCTGATATGCTTAAATCTAACTCCATGTTTGATGCTATTCAAACTGGAGTAAAATTTGCAAACAATATTGTCATGACTTTAAAATTCAGAAATGGATTTTAAAACATTAAATATTGTAAATTGGAATGCTCGATCTCTTAAAGATAATGAAGACGAGCTATTTAACTTTTGGAGAGTTCATAACGTGCATATTGCCGTTATAACTGAAACGTTCCTTAAACCTGACCATAAGGCTTTTTTTTCCTCTGTTCGGGACCTAACAAAACTACGACCAGTAAATTGATCTATTGTAGTATATCCCGTTTTTTATAGTTGCCACTCTTGCATTTATCGCAAGGATCCGACTCTAATTGAAAGGTCCCGCTATTTATACCCTTCGGAGTGTTGAAACACCCTCCAAAGGCGCGCCCCTTTGTCAGTCAAAATTGGATTCCTTAGCAACAAAATTAAGGTATGACACCGATAATGACCATGCATCAGAACCCTAGTCTTAACCACTTCAAACTAGGGAACAACGAATAGAAGATTAGGAATTACATAGATGAAGACAACTAACTCATTTTTTTTCCTTGTTTCAAGATCATCCTCGGTAGACAAAGCCGAGTCTTGTCACTATCAACAAGGCATAAAAAAGTAACAAGGACTAAGATGTGTTCCTTGGATTACTGAAAAATCCTGTTCCCCTAGTTTGAAGTAGTCAGGACTAGGAATCGGTGGTAGATCTTACATCCCGTAACGTACCACGAAAAGGTGATCTACCTACGTTACGGGGCGACCATAAGGTTAAGAAGGACGCAAATTATTTCATTTATAGAAATGATCGTCTTGATGGACCCTGTGGTGGCGTTACCATCATTGTTCATATACGAATCAAACATAAAATTCTTTCTTCATTTGAAACCAAAGTTTTTGAAACTTTGGGTGTTTCTGTTGAAACAAAATTTGGACAACTTACGTTTATAGCTGCCTATTTGCCATTCCAATGCGTAGGCCAGCAAAAGAATTTTCTAAATGGTGACCTTCAGAAACTTACCCGTCATAGGTCTAAATTCTTCATTATTGGTGATTTTAATGCAAAACACCGCTCATGGAATAATGCTCAAAGCAATTCCAATGGTAATATTCTGTTTGATGATTTTTCTGCAGGTTATTACACTATTCAATATCCAAACAGCCCAACATGCTTTTCTTCTGCTATTGTTGTAACTGATTCATGTCAACTTTGTAGCCAATTGGTTACCCATGCTGACTTCGGTTCTGATCACCTTCCAGTAACTTTTGAAATATCCCAAGAAATAATTTCTAATCCCAACAGCTCTACTTTCAATTACCATAGAGCTGATTGGGAGCAGTATCGAACATTTATGGAATATAACTTCGATCCAAACATTCCTTTGCAAACCAAAGATGAAATTAATTATGCTCTTGAATCTCTGACTACTTCTATAGTTGAAGCAAGAGCTACTTCAGTACCAAAATGCGAGGTTAAATTCGATTCAATTATAATAGACGACGATCTTCAGCTCTTGATCCGTCTTAAAAATGTACGTAGGAGAAAATATCAAAGAACACGCGATCCTGCCATGAAAGTTATCTGGCGGGATTTACAAAAACAAATTAAAAAACGATTCTCTGCCCTGAGGAACAAAACTTTTGAAAATAATGTTTCTAAATTAGACCCGAGTTCCAAACCCTTTTGGAAACTCACAAAAATTTTGAAAAAACCTCAAAAGCCTATTGATCACAAATTTGGAAAAAGCTCAGAAACTTGCTAAGCAATTCGAGAGTTCCCACATTTTCAGTTTGGGTCTTACTAGTCCTATTGAGAATAAGGTTGCTCGGGATTATCTGAATATTTTCTCTCGGGAAAATATTTTTGATGATTCCTGGGGGACTGATTTGGACGAAGTAAGATATAACTAAAAAGTTTCATAATATGAAAGCTCCAGGTGCTGATGGAATTTTCTATATCCTCATCAAAAAAACTCCCAGAGATTACCTTGTATTTCTTGGTAAAATTATTTAACCGATGTTTCCATTTGGCATACTTTCCTGATAAATGGAAAAATGCAAAAGTTGTTCCAATTTTGAAGCCGGATAAAAATCCGTCCAATAAGTTTGCTTTCTTCAATAAGTAAACTTTTTGAAAAGATAATTTTAAATAGAATGATGCTTCACATCAATACGAACTCAATTTTTGCAGATGAGCAGTTTGGATTTCGCCATGGGCATTCAACTACTCATCAACTCTTAAGAGTTACCAATTTAATTCGTTCAAACAAATCTGAAGGCCACTCAACTGGAGTTGCTCTTCTAGACATAGAAAAAGCATTCGACAGTGTTTGGCATGAAGGTTTGATTGCCAAATTGAAAAAGTTTAATTTTCCACTTTATATTATGAAATTAGTTCAAAATTATGTAACTGACAGAACTCTGCAGGTAAATTATCAAAATTTCAAATCTAATCGACTACCTGTTAGAGCAGGAGTTTCTAAGGGGAGCATTCTTGGGCCTATATTCACTTCGGACCTCCCTGATTTGCCTCAGGGTTGCCACAAATCTTTGTTCGCTGATGACACAGGCATTTCCGCTAAAGGAAGAAGTCTTCGTGTTATTTGCAGCAGACTGCAGAAAAGTTTAGATATTTTCTCTTCTTATTTACAAAAATGGAAGATTTCTTCCAACGCTTCCAAAACTCAACTTATAATATTTCCACATAAGGCTAGAGCTTCCTTCTTGAAACCTAGTAGTAGGCACATAGTCACTATGAACGGAGTTCCAATTTCCTGGTCAAACCAAGTGAAATATCTTGACCAAAAATTAACTTTTAAAGATCACATTGTGGGCATTCAAGCCAAATGTAACAAATATATAAAATGTTTGTATCCTCTTATAAACAGGAAATCCAAACTTTTTGTCTGACGAATAAACTTCTAATTTTTAAACAAGTTTTTAGACCGGCCATGCTTTACACTGTGCTAATATGGTCTAGTTGTTGCACTACCAGGAAAAAAGCCTCCCTGGTACAGTACTACCGAAGTAAATAGAATTTCGAATGTTGAGACTTTAGAACAAATGTCCAACAAAATAATAATTAATTCCCTTTATACCTAGATAAGATTTAGTTTTAGTTTTTAGTTTTAAGATTTCAATTGTTATACTGACATGCAGGTTTAAAAAACCTGTTTAAAATACTGTACAATGTAAAAACACTTAGATATATATCATAACAATTAAGGCTGGTAAGTTACTGTAATAACTGGAGCACCTAGGTTAAAATGAAATGTAATTTATTTTGAATTTGGAACAAATAAAGAGTTAAAAAAAAGGATGCAGTTGAATAAAATAGTCAAGAAGTCATTTCTTCAATAGGCGCCATTGTTGGGATGTTAATCTAAATGCATATAGAGGTACCAGACATGATTTGCACTGCAGTGTCCTCTGTGAACAATTAATGGAAAACAGATTGAGTGTAGTTTCCGATAGATGTCACCGCAAACAACAGCAGTGATGGAAAAAGAAAGCAGAAGCTTGACTAAATGGTTAAGGTACACCGGGGCCAGTTGAAACGCGTGGGGAAGTTGAAACGGTAGGTGTATCTCTAAGCGGAAGTGAATAATTACTGAGTTATTTCTAATCTAGTAGTCTGCGGCAGTACACAATGCCTCTCAAAAATAAATACAGTGAATAATCACTTCCGCTAAGAGATACACTTACCGTTTCAACTTTCCCGTGCGTTTCAACTTGCCCCGGTGTACCTTAATTGGTTATTCGAGTGCACGCCGAATACAATAGGTAATGGGGGTTTTCTTTCGAGTGAGTGGCTAGCTAGATAACTAGACCTAGCTCGGTAAATTTTCTATGTTTATCTATTTGCGAATAAAGTTAAACGTTTTTATTACATCTTCATCTTTTTGTTTGTATCAACAGAGTTCCATTTTTTGTAATCTTAGATCGATTTTTCATAAAATCTATTTGCACCATTTTTTTCATTTTCATTACTTTTAACTCATATTTAATATATATTAAAATATATCTATCATTTAATAAGTTACTGAGTCCTACAATTTGCTTAAAACTTCATAGAATTTGTTTTCTGAAATAAGAAAATTCCTAAAATTCAAGCTTCTACAGCTGCAGAAAGTAAATCCTATCATATAGTATAATTAAAAAAAAAACTGATGAGGAGAAGAATGCTGTGAACATGTTTGATTTAATTTTCATTTTTTTTTACTTTGATTCTAACCACAAGTTTGCTTAGTTCCAGCGCGTCTTACATCGGCATATCGAGCATCTCGACGATAAAATTGTCCAAATGCTTATCACTTAGCAACCGAATAAAGTTCAGATGATCGAGACACTTCAGGCTAATCGACCGCAGGGCCGGTAACCTCAGCAGTAGCTGAGCAAATCGGCCATCCTCGGAAGGATGCTGCTGTTTGCAGTGCTCGTCCAAACAGGCGTAGATCTTCTCCCGCATGCTGTCGATCTCTTTCTGACACTTCAGTCCTCGAATGTCTGATTATTCATCACAAAAGAAAAAGAGCAAATCGATTCGTTAGATCAGCCGGAAGGGACAGATTATATAAGAGCAAAAGATTACATACCGGGATTAAACAGTATGATAGCTTTGAGAACTCCAAGCTCAGCTCGGGTCACGTCCAGTCTTTTCATTTTGATTCCGAGCTCACAAAGGATACGATCGAACAGCGTGTCAACCCCAGCCTGCTGGGCACTGTTCCGGTGCAGGGTAAAGTTCGGTCCTAAGCACATGAGCTGAGGCTGTCGGACCGTCACCCGGCTGCCATCAGACGAGCGTTCGGTTTCAATGTACTGAAACGTGGAGAGTAGGTTTTAGAAGGTGGCCAATGGTTGATGCTGAAAATACTGTTAACATCATACCTCCATACTTCTCCAGGCAACGGCAGCGATGAGCATCTCGTTCCATCCGCATCGTAGTAACATCACCTGATCGTCCCGGTGGAGATTGGTAAAGTGGGGCAACCGTCGGGCAAAGTCTATCAGCTGGTAGATCTGCTTGTTTACCATCTGGCAAAGGTGCGATACGGCTCCCTGAAATAAAAGCATATTTTTTTCGAATGAGACGGTGGAAATGGTTTCTGTGCTTATTGGTCATGAGATGTAACGATTGTACGACTTTTCCCCGAAAACCAGTCCCCCGAAAACACTTTCCCCGAATGTAACTTTTCCCCGAAAAACATTTCCCCGAATGGAACAGTTCCCAGAAAATAATTTCCCCAAATGTACCATTTCCCCGAATCTGCGAATCTTCGCTGGTTAACTACTTGTATCGAAAAATACCACAATAAACATATTAATGTGCATCGAATAAAGACAATAGTTTGACTTTCGTTAAAACAAAATGTAAAGGTCAAGCTCCTGAAATCGGTGTAATCCTATTTCAGCAGCTTTTGACCTTTCCATGTAGTTTTAACGAAAGTCAAACTTTTGTCTTTATTCAACACATATTGATTTCTTCGTGCTCCATACAATTTTAGATTCACCCTATAAGGAGTCGCCATGTGACCAATATGTATGGCATAGGGACGCATGATATCTTTTCTTTGTTTGTATGGAGCTTTTTTTTAACGATTGTACCTATCAAACAAACACACACATTGTATGCAATTAGCTCCATGGATCATACCATATTATACGTCAAAGAATGAACTATGATTCAAAGAAGGAAAATTTCTTGCGACAAGCAAAATTTTCCCTTCTTCGTATCACAGCTCGTTCTTTAACGTTTTGAAGAATAAATATCTGACTAATTTATCAAAGCGATATCTCATTGTAATAAAATTGAAGAACGAGCCGTGATACAAAGAAAGGAAAATGATATCTCTTTGATAAAACCAATTAGATAGATATTATGCGATACGTTAAGAAACCAGCTGTGCTACAAAGAAGGAACATTTCTTGAAACAAACAACGATTTTTCTTCTTTGTATAAGGGGTGATGTACAAATTATGTCACGCCCTAAGGAGGGACGTGTAGAAATCTGTGATTGATTGATTTTGCCTCAATTTCGCGTGACATAATTAATGTATGGCCCCTAACGGCTCGTTTTTTTTAATTTGATTACGATTAGATATCAGTTTTATAAATTAGTAAGATATTTATTCTTCAAAACTTTAAAGAACGAGCTGTGATACAAAGAAGGGAAAATTTTGTTTGTTGCAAGAATGTTTCCTTCTTTTTATCTTAGTTAATTATTTGACGTATAACTTGGTATGTTCCATGGAGCTAATTGCATACAATGTATGTGTGTGTGTGTTGGATAGGTACGAACGTTAAAAAACTCCATACTAATAAATAAAAGATACCATGCGTCCCCATGCAATACATGCTATAGTCACTTTGCGACTCCTTATAGGCCGAATCCAAAATTGTATGGAGCAAGAAGAAAACACCATACACCGATTTCAGAAGTGTTTGCACACTTAGATTATTTCACCGAAATCTGTGAAATTTTACCGAAATCTCAACAGCGAACGTTCGGTAAACAGTTCGGTGATTTTTCACAGATTTCCTGTATTTTTTCACAGATATTCGGTGAACAATTACAGGAAATCTGTGAAAAATCACCGAACTGTTTACCGAACGTTCAGCTGTTGAGATTTCGGTAAAATTTCACAGATTTCGGTGACATAATCTTAGTGTGTGACCTTTACATGTAGTTTTAACGAAAGTCAAACTATTGTCTTAAGCGAACCCCACACGGTAAGAAATATTGTCAATACTTACAAGTATTGACAATAATATTGATGATGTGAATACAGATATATTGTCAATACCGATGTATTGACGTCAATATAAAATGCATTGACAATACGATTATTGTCAATGCAAACAGTCGTGTAGGGTCCACTTTAATTCGACACACATTGATATGTGTATTGTGGTATTGTTCGAAACAAGTAGTTAACCAGCGAAATATTTGATAAAACTGACACAATTTTCCCTTCTTTACATGAAAGCTCAGTCTTTATGCTCATTACAATCAGCTATCAATTTGATAAACCGCCAAATGTCATAACAAGTCATAACCACAAACTTTATCTAGGGTGTTGAACGACTTTGTTCTGTTTATCAATATTCAGCAGAGATATTTTTCTCAATTTCATATAGATAAGTTGTAACAAACCCAAGGATCATATTTAAATAGATCGCACAGTGTAAATTGTATCTTTCGGGGAACTAGTTCTTTCGGGGAAATAGTTTTCGGGAAAACGTTCCTTTCGGGGAACTGGTTCATTCGGGGAATCGTATTTCGGGGATAAAACTTTCGAGGAAAGTGTTTTCGGGGAACTGGTTTTCGGGGAAAAGTCGTACAATCGATGTAACTACTGTAGTTGGTGGCGACTACTGTCGGAAATTTTACACAAACTGCTTTCCGTTAGTTGTGTTCATCCAACCGACATTTATCGCCTTCACCATAAGTAGAAAATATCAACCGTAGCAATTCAAGACCAACAATAAGGCTGTCCACGAGACAGTTGCGATCAGCTGACTTTAATTTCTATACTGGGGGACACTTTGTGAAAACCGAAAATGGAACATGAAACAAAATTATGAAAGATTTTGAACATTAATAACTCAGCTGCCCCTGGATCAATTTCAATAATTTTATCACCAATCGATCAGAAATATGTCTACGCAATGCTTCCATCTGATGATTTTCAACAAGAAACTATTGAAAAAGTGGTAACGTCAAGCATTATCCAAAGTACAAATAAAAAGTGATAATTTTTCACTGGTTTCATGAAATAAACATTGTTCCCAAACGCAGTTGTCATAATCGAGTACCACTTGGTTGCACATCATTCTGCTTTAACCTGAAAAGATATAAAACAACGCTGCTGTCTAGCCTCAACTCATTTTCGCTTCGAACGCCGTGGTGAGCAGACAGAAGCAGAGTGAGAAGCAGCAAAAGCAGTCGTCTGGCCCGCCGTGGCGGTTTCAAACGTGTCTCCGGCCATCGATGTCGTCTACGTTTTGAAGTGACAGACGAACTCTGTACAGCTTCGGAGGTTAAATCATCACCATTTTTGGCATCAAAACGGCCCTTTGCTGGACCAACAAGCTTATTATAGTAAGTTAGAATAAAATTTATCTGCCTTTTGGTCCATATTCAGAACCACATGCCCCCAACGACCACACCAAATGTTCTCCAGAGTTGTAATCTTGTAACCAAACTTGAAAGCAGGGGTGCAAGTGATTTTGATCGATTCTCTTCATCAACTTTCTCTTTAAAAAAAAATAATACTACAAATTTGGGACGCCTACAAATCAAAAACGGAAAGAGTTAAGATAATAGATGATCGATCAATTAAAAGAACTAAATTTTCTTCACATTTGTTTCGTGCCCTAGCGGTCCTACGTCAAGCTCCCGTTCGTGCCCCTAGGCACAGACCCTTCTACTTTTTTTCTTTACCAAGAACTTTTGACAGATCACAGTAGAACTGGCAGTTTATTCTCATATGAATTTCTGCTTTGTTTATGTTTACATTCAACAAACCTTGTACGGCAATTTTGTCGCGAACCGAAGTCCGCCAGCGCAAACCAACCAAATGAACCGGTAGGGGAAATTCTCCTCTACCCGATTGTGTTTTAGGTTTGCGCATGTAGGTTTCGGTTCGCGAGAAAATGGCCTTACAAGGCTTGTGTTTACAACATGGAGTTGATTCTTACTGTAACACATTAGAGTGTTAACCGCCTCCGCCATGGCAGGACGGCCCAACTCATCATCCTCCTATCACAATCAATGTTTGAAAATTTGGGTTCAATAAACCTCCTGCATTTCTGTGTTAAGTTTCAATTTTACGTATCTTTTCATTTACATTGGACTGAATCGAGTGTTTCATTTATTCTATTAAATAATTATCAAACCAAACACTAAACAGTCCATCGATTCTTACTGCTTTTTATTTGAGGAGTGTCTCTTTGTCATACAATCATTGCTCATGGGTTTACTTTTTTGAGTTTTTTGACCATATTGCACGAAAAAAAACAACATGGACAACCAAATTGGGCAAATATGGGCAACATACGAACAACTCAAAATGGTCTTTGATGTTACTTTATTTTTGGCTTTTGTGATCAAGTAGCAAAGGCATTGTTGTGCCCAACGCTTTTACGGTGTAATATAGTTGAAATCAGGTAGCCGAACCCTGTTAATTGACCACTTTGTCAAGCAGTTTTGGCGTGACTTTCTACCAGCGATTTCACAAAACTGGACCAACTAATTTCTGGGGTTGGTTGGAAAATGCTAACATGAAGCTTTAATGTGATAATTTATTAGCTAGAGAATGATCTTTTTTAGAAGAGGGTAGGTGGATAGTTCCGTTAGAGTACGGCAGTATGAAAATTGAATAGAAGTTGAAAATGAGCGAAGGGCCATTAATGCGACAGTTTTTAAAGATAGACGCACATCTTTGCCTAACCCGTACGATGTACGCGGAGACTTGAAGTATGTCTCCAAGTCTACAGTCTAATTTCTATTTTTTAATGAAACGCACAAATTATGGCTACTTTTCTCGAGATTCTAGAAGAAAAAAAAATCTCAAAATAATGTTTTATTTCAAAGTTCGAGTGGTAGTAAACGTCATTTCAACAGCTCGAATGAAGTGGTTAATTGACAGATGCGAGTAGCGCTTTGCACCAACACAAGCGCGCACTAACAGCAGAGTAAAAGCTAAGAGGAAGAGGAGACAACTGCCTTCTTACTCTTTTATCTCTATCTCTATCTATATCTATCTCCATCTCTATCTTACGCACTCCAAATTGACCAATCACGAGCTGGTTCGCGTTTGACAGAAAAGTGGTTCGTTTTCGCCCCCGTATTGTCTCTTCTTCCTCTTAGAGTAAGAGTAAAGCCCTCTAATAAAAGTATGAACGGCCACAAAACTGAAAAAAAAGTTGTTCCAATCGAGCAAACCACTGCATTTTGACGGTTCGATTGGAACTACAGACGTCCATACTTTTACTTAGTCTTAGAGGACTTTAAGTAAAAGCGGGTTGGATCGTAGCAGAACCTTTTTAGTGTAGT